TGAATGGCTTCCTCTTTGAGACCAAGGACTTATTTTAGAGGATCAAGTCTTAGAGAAAATCTGACAAGCCAGCCTGGCTTTGTCCTCCACATAGCACCTCCTTAGCTGCTTCAGCTCCTCTCACCAACAGCCTGCAGTGTGCTCTCTTGGCTCTTTCGTCTGACTTCTTCCTACATCTGAAGTAAGCCACTTCATTTGTTCTCTGGTTTGGATCACTGAGAGGAGCAGGTATGAGAGCTGACAGACCTGGCCCTCATGAAGAATTTGTGACCCATATGACCTTTGGGGGATATGGGGCCCCATCACTGTGACCCACCTTTTGCCAACAATAGCATCACCTGCCCAGTTTGGATCCGATGTTCCTGTAGTATGTTGATGATCTCTGTGGTCATGTTTCCCTCCTATCAAAAAATAGATCTCTTCGTGCTCTTAATTTCATTATCAAACACATTGTTCTTTTATTGAGAGAATATCTATCTTCTCAACTAAATACTCTGGCAGGTACAATAAATGTTCCCTAAGACCCTTCCAATGGAAAGGTGTAAAGTCTTGTCATGCACTGTTCATTACACTCTTAGGCTAAAATTTTAGTTTTTCATTGTCTACATGGCCCACTCCAGCATGCTGTGCAGGGGCTCACATATTCACAGGAGAAAGGGGCACTAGTGGGGAGAAAGTCAGGGGATTTGAAATTATATCCAACTTCCCAAACACTGTTGTGAACAGGTATAAAAGCCTCTTCAGTGGCTGATACTGAGAAGGCCAAGTTCAACTTCTGCTCCCTCCCTGGCTCTGTTGTGTACAGTCTGCCCCTGGTGGCATTCATTTCCTAGCAGGGGTGAAGCTGTCCTCACTGCTGTTCCACCGGGGACAGGGACTCTGTGGTCACAGATGCACAGGGCTCATGTATCCCTGGAACCTACACTCATCTGGTCAGAAGGATCAGCGATCTGGGGAGAGACTTGTCCGCTGGGATATGTCACCAGTGCTGACTTCAGTGAGGCTGTGGGTGTCTGCCGAGTCCTAATCACATGCAGGTGTACAGTGATGGCGGGTAGGAGGAAGCCCAGATGTTCTGTGGAGCTTGAGCTGGGTAGATTTGCAGAGGTGGGAATCTAGTCCCTCTGTGAGGGAGGGAGACCTTGCAGGTGCGCCCACACCCTGTGGCTCTAATGGACGCCCAGTCAGGGGTCACATTCCCATCCCAGAGAAGAGGGATTTTCCCATAGACATACCCAGGAAAAGAAATCCAGCCCGCTGTGGGGAGGTCAGAACAAACCCTTCACCAGAATGTTTGAGGAATGCAATACAAAATGAGAGCGTTCTACTCGGCTCGGCCATTGTCCTGTGTATTGTTGCCGTAATTCCCATTTGGGGCACTCTGCAGGGTTCATGCTTGGTAACTAATAAACCACATATTTGGTAGTTGCCAATACCTAAGCCTGAAAGGTTCTCTAATTTAAAGAAGAAGAGAAACAACTGTTGTAGTCATATCAGATGAGATGGGCTACAGGGATAGTGGCCTTGTTTTGTAGTTTGTGCCTAGAAGTGAAAGGTTGTCTTTGAATCCACTCTGCTTGGGAAGTGCATACATGGCTCTGTCTGACACTTTCGTTGACATCCCTAGTTTGAGGATGTGGAGCTCCTCAAATGTGACTTCCTGACAGTCTGTCTGGCTGAGAATCTGTATTCTGTGAGAGCTTTCTTGCTAGGTATGGAAAAGACTTTCACTAACTTAGATAACAAAATTTATACTGAATTTCAGTGGCAGGCCCTATTCTCTGGCAAGCGATGATTGCAACTCCACTCCACCTTCTAGAACTCTCCTTTGAAGGACAAGGAGGAGGGATGATAGTAGGCTCCAGGAGAAGCAGACTCCTGTTCCTTCTCTGGCAGTAGTAATGCTAAGAGATCCAGGAGTCATGACCAGTCTTCCTGGGTGGACTGGCAAGAGGGAGTTAAATGGGTGCTCAGGAGGTAAAAGCAGTTGGTATTTTGGGGCCAAGTCTCAGGTTGGGCATGATTGAAACTTGAAGCAGGGATTCTCAAGGTTTAAGAGCAAGCATGCGTGCAGAAGAGTTTCTGTGTTAGTTACAGAGCACCAAGTATCCAGAAGGCTTGGCAGAGTGTATCTTTGATAGACACTAGCATGTGGGGTTTTCTCCTCCCAAAATACTGCCTGATGGAGCTTTTGCCTCTGTTTGGAATGTTATAGCTTTCAGTCTTTTACAAGCCTCACATATGACCTACCACCTCCTTTAACTTCTACCTAAGTGGGGAAGGCGTTCACTTGCCCTTTCTGTGACTTCCTTTCCCATCCTTCTGCTCTTGCAAGCTTGCTCACTGTGGCCTCCAGGAGGCAGCGTGGTGTAGTAGAAAGGGGACAAAGCCATGTCTTTAGAGTCCTGGCCTAAACTAGGACCTCAGCCCCCTGTCATCTGATATATATATATATATATATACATATATATATATGTATATATATATATGTATATATATATATAT